ACTCCTTTAACCAGCAATGACAGCAGTTGGAAGCTGAGGTAGGTGGGTTGCTATGCATTTGAGATCAGCCTGGGCTACACTTGACCTCCTTCTTTCAAAGGCAACACATAAAAATGCCCTCCAAAACAGACTGATGACCAATAAACAAACAAACCAAGCTACAACCACAGTTGATTTTATAGCTACGGAGAAGATTTAAAAACCTAGATTAATAAAGCTCACAGAAGTATGTGCATGTCTGTGTGCTGGGTGGTCAGGAAGGGAAGGAGAGAGATGACAGAAAGAGGCCCTTTGACTTGTCTAAACATTTAGACACAGAATCTCATCTACTACGTCTTTAAGGCTCATTGAGAAACACAGGTGATCATTTGATGAGCAACCCAGATAGCTGAAGGGCCGAAGCAGCTAGCACTTTGATGAGATTAGAACAGAAATATTAAGAAGTTGATTTTCTTTCCAACTTTTATCAGCAGTATGTTCGAGAACACCCAGACGAGAATCATTATTTAGTCTACCACTCAGTTGGAATTTCGTTGATTATTGAGTCTAGAAAACTCTCTACCTTTCAGATAGGTCAGGAACTTGCAAAGCCAGACTGATGGCTATAGAGACTGGGCAAGGAGCATTCCACTCACACCAGCCTGGCCTTCTGTCCAACAAAAATGTGAAGTGTGATTTAAATGTTTCACTTATTATTGCGTTTATGTGGTTTTTTTTTTGTGTGTGTGTGTGTGTGTGTGTGTGTGTGTGTATGTGTGTGTGTGTATGACACACGGGCTAGTTTGAGCGTGGGAGTCTGTGGGTGTGGCACAGTGTGTGTATGGAGGTCAGAAGACAAATTTCAGGAGTGAGTTCTCTTCTTCCATTATGGGTGCTGAGAAGTGAAACTCAGGTTTCAGGGTTGTTCAAGCATCCTAACTGTCTCACCAGCCTTAGAATATGATTGTTTTTTCTCTGCAGTAAGAGCAATCCATTTTAGATCCTCTGGCTGACTCCTGTACTGACTCCTGCAATGGTTGTCAAACAAGGGTGATTTGGTTCCCTAGACAATCCTTTAATGTCTGGGAACATTGTGTTTAATGACAGGTGGATTGCTTCTGGCATCCAGGAAGGAGAGGCAGAGCTGGGCTAAGCAGCTTCCAATGTGTAGGGCAGTTCTACTCAGGGAAGAATTATCTGGTTCCAAATGCGTCTAAGCAGACCTGTCAGGTCTGAGTTGATGCTGAGCGTCTGGTTTGTTATTGCATTCTTCACTGTAGAAAAACGAGAGGTGCCGTCTGTGACCTCAGCCCGAAGACAGGCACGCAGGAATCCAGCTTAGTTCCAAATCATAGACGCCGTATCTCTTGAAAGGACAACATCGAGTCACTCCCGTGTTTGCATGTAACGTAAACAGACACTCACTCCCACCTCCGGGCTTCAAGGAAAAGATTAAAGTAAATTATAAGCAGTGAGGATAGTCTCTGAATGTCAGATGTCAGTTTAACTGGCGCTTTGCTCTATTGACTATTGGAATGCTTAGGACAAAAAAAAAAAAAAAAAAAAAAGGTTTCTCCCAGAAGTGAAGACCAATATTTGTAAAAACACCACCCACCTGCTTCAGGGTGAAGGTTGTAACTGCCCTGGCAGCACTGCAGGGAAGCCTTTGAGTGCCCTCCCTGCAGCAGCGGCTGTCAGAGTTGGTATCCAGTAGCTACTGAGATAGAAACCTAGAAACACGAGCAACGAGCTTGGGAGTTTCATTTTTGAGCATTTGTAGTGAGAGAATGTCTCCATGATTAAGAGTTCTACCCTTCCCCCCCCCCCTTCGTAAGCAGAGTGGTGGGGTTGCTCCACCCAGGCGACCGAGAGGACTGTTTGTTTAGCTTCAGCTTTGCCTGACCTTGGGCTGACATGGTGTGTACCCTGTTACCTACCTCATGATGACATTGTTTTTTTTTTTTTTTTTTTTTTTTTTTTTTTTTTTTTTTTTTTTTTTATCGTCAGCTTCGGCAAAATGTTTTGGCTACAATGAAAGCTGATATCTCTTACTTTGTTCAAATGGATTGGGAAACAAACTAGTTAAAAAATAATCATCCTAGGGTAGAAAGGGAACCTGAGTGGATTAGAGCTTGGTTTTATGTCACCAGTTCTACGGCTACGGCTCAACATTTGTAAACTGGAAAAGCAACCTGTGTTGAATCGCAAAAGGGACTCCAAACACGCTCGCGTGTAAACAAACTGTCTGGTTTACAGGCCATTCTTGAGTTTTCCCTTTGTGTATTGTAGCCCAGTTTCTACCGAGTTATAAAACAGGGCATTTCCCAGGAATGGGTGTAGTATGCAGAAGCCTCGATACCACTTTCAGACTGGGCCAGAGTGTAAGGTGACCTCACTGTAATCGGTGGCCTTGCTACTATAAAGGAAGGAGTGTCCAGAGATCACCATTAGGTCCTTTGATAACGAGGACTGACCTAGCAGGACGGACTCCCAGGAGGCCTGAGTGAGCCTGTAATCAGAGAAAGCGCAGGGCGGTGTGAGTCCCTGCCTTTGGCACCCAGTCTGCTCCAGTGACAGCACCCTTCTCCAGGGCCAGTGTGTGACCCACAAAAACGGCTTAACACTGGACCCGCGCTCTAAACAGCCCTCTCTCTCTCTCAGGCACTAGCAGGAAATAGTTTCTGTTTATTGCTGTCTGTTACTCCTTTGGGCTGCTGTAAGACTGGCCAGCTCAGAGCTTAACACCTCCAGGGCATGTGGTTTTCCTAGAGGCTCAGAACACCCTGCCCCTTTGACAACTCAAAAGCAAGGGTGATGAGCATATTTGTTTTTCTTTAGTACATTGCTACATTAAAAAAAAGAATACTTTCCATTTTAATCATATTTGGGGCTGACTGAAGATCATTGCCTTTCTGGAAATTTTATTTAATTCTCAAACCAGAGGAACAGGAATTATCACTAGTTTTCCACTGCTTGGAACTCATCCTGACTCTGGGAGACGAGTTCCAAGACTTCAGGGCTGTGTAGCAACTCGCATCAGCCTACTGGTAAAACTAGGTCTTGGTCATCCTGAGAGCTGGGAGTCATGATTACTTTATAGGGGAAATAGAAAATGAAGAAAGAAAGATTTTTTTTTTTTAAAAAAGTACAGGATATTGAATGATTGAGTTGTGATTTGCTTTAGGTGTTTTGGGTCTGAGACACACTGCTCTTTTTATTACACTCTTCTGAATAAAATTATTTAGTGCCATAACTGACCATGCAAATATCTATAAAAATTTTCATAGTAAATTAGGCTTAGGTGCCCCAAAGGTTCGATTGCTTAATATAATCTGGGTAGCATATTTCCCGTGAACATATTTCTCTAGTACTTTTTCCTGAAACTAGAGCTGTAGTTCACCATGATCTCTACCTTGGTATGTGGCTCCTGGCTGCTCTCTGAGGCTCACTGGCCACGGAGCCTGGGGTTGTCGCTATTTTTAACTCATGGCTGGACCTGTAGCCATAGCCAGTTGCTCTCCATTCTATGATCTCCTCCAGGACCATATGCTGGAAGAAGTCAAGATTGGGAGAAACTTAAAAACATACTGGTCTTTTCTTCTCAAATCAGGAATGGATTTGATCTGTCTTTCATCCCACATAATTCCTTCCTCTGTGAGAGCCCTGTTTAGCCATATTTCTACCTAGAAGCAATTCAGTAGCACTCTTCAAGCCAAAAGATGGCCTGACTGGGTTTTGAAGCAAGACTCGCTACTGCTAAGCTGTAAACACAGGGAGGATCTTCGCTTGGGACTACCATGTATGTAAAGAGGCACTTCTTGTTTCCATCAGAAGTTTCCACTGAAGATCAGAGCTCAAGGCATTCATCCAGCAGGGCACATAATTATCCACCAGTGAGACGCTGTTCTAAGGGACGCCCTGCAGACCTCTGTGGGAGAAGGTGGTGGCACAGGAGGCCTGTTGTCGAACGTGGACGTTGGAAAATGAGCTTCAGTGCTTAAAACGCTTTATAACTCCCAGTCAGGCTGCAGGCACGCCTGTCAGCCCCTGAGAGGCTGTGACTGTGAGAAAAGGCAGCTGATAGTTACATGTCCACCCATTTAGCCCTTGCTCCCTCTCCTGAAGCGGGTGCCGAGGCCCAATGGAGGTTCCATGACAGTTTCATGGTCACGTCACGGTCACGCAGCTGGGGGTCCCCACCCCACACTCTTGCTCTAGAATCTACACAAAGACTGCAGGGCTTGGCTCTTTCTATACCCAAGCAAGGTTACTGCAGGTTGTTCACTGAAGAGGCAGTGGTGAGAGGTCATGCTGGTGAAGGAGCGAGCGTGGCCCAGTCTAAATGTTGGCATAGGCTGGGCTGCAACAAAGGTTATCGCTACAAACAGATTAGCCCTCCCGGCTGTCATGCCAGTGGTGCGGCTGACGACAGCATCAACCCACACCAGCTTTTGTTTGTTTTGAGCAGAGGCCCACAGGCACCTCTCGCAGCAGATTGGTCCCTGTGACAGGCCTCTGCCACTCCTGGAGACACCTATCGGGGGTCCTCCCAGCGGGAGGGATGAAGCAAGCAGGGCTCATTTCTGATGCAATATTGGCAGTTCCCTCAGCTTGCGACGTGAGTGCGCATGCCTCCCATTCCTAGTCGGCTGCAAGAAGCGGACAGCGTAGCAGTCCTTCATATTGCTTTGCTTTAAAATCGTATGTATTGATTTCCGAGTGAGTCCCCTTGGAGATTCTAAATCGCTCTCGTTTTGAGTCAACACTATATAGAAACCACAATTTTTCATTTTGTTGGATACTTCAAAATAGATAACGTTCAGTTGTTCTCATTTTTCTTTTCTTCTCAGTTTTTAGTTCATAACCACTTAACTCTGCAATCCTGCTAGGCTTGGAGGTGGGGGCGAGGAAAATATGGAACCCAGAGAACTTCAGTGAGATTGGAGATTACAGGGCACTGCAAGCAGATGTGGGGGAGGTGGCTCTCCAGACCTACAGCGGGATCCTGCCAGTCAAAAGCATCAGAGCTGTTTGTCGGCAGCAGCGGTGATTTTCTTCCAGGTCTTGCCATTCCTGGATGCAAAACACTCCATGGCTTCCATGATACTCATGCTCATGCCTTCTTTCACCTTCCCCAAGACCACGTGTTTTTCATGCGGCTGCTCTGTGCTCAGCCCGAACAACTGGGAACCATTTGTGTTTGCTCCAGCATTTGCCATGGACAAGATGCCAGGACCTAGATACTTCAGGATGAAAACCTCACCTTTAGATTTCTCCCCGTAGATGGACCTGCCAGCAGTGCCATTATGGCACGTGAATCCTGGTACATATATATAGTCTTTCAAATAAATGAAGCAAACACATGGACATGCTCAGCACAGGAGGCTAAGATCTGTGGGGAGGGGTGAGCTCTACTAGAGGAGGGGAGCCTCTGCCTGGGTTTTGAAGCCACTGAAAACTTGGCAGTCATGTGCACACAGGCAGCTTAGCTATCCTTTAAGGGCTTCCATTTCCGGAGAATAAAATGAAAGCAATTGAAATGATAGCTTAGAGTGTTGGAGCAAAGTTTAAATGTCCCTTCCAAGGGCAAAATTGTAAATACCTGAATTGGCTTTATTGTCAATTCAAGAATTATGTCACATATCATATATATGTGCATATATATATATATATATATATATATATATATATATATATATGATATATGACAGAATTATTTTCTTATAAGGCTGAACCTGACCGGTAGACACAGTGGCGTCTGTATGTGATTAGGCCGTCACGTGAATGGACGCACAGCTGCTGTGGCTTCCAGCACAGGACCTGTATGTGACCCAGCCTGTCAACACTGTAGCCTGGAGGCGGAAGAGGGCCATGAGCCCTTAACTTAGGAGCTGTGAAACATTGGCGGCCTCTGGGGAAGGAAGAATGGGTTTCCGTTAAGGGTGTGGCTCCTGGTAGGCCAACTACCCTTCTGTGAATGTTCTCATACCTAGGAATATTGGGGCAGTACAAACTGGAGTCAATGGGTTAATAAAAAGATGGAGTTGGTGTGGGTAAGTGACTGGGGACAGATCTGAGAGGAGTTAAGGTGACTATGATTGAAATACATTGTTGAAAACTTCAAAGTATTATTAAAGCTACTTGAAAGATTTCCGTCTATCGTAATTGTAAGTGAACACACCAAGGAGCAAGGGTTTCTTGTGGTATCTACACACATTTGGTTTTAACGATTTTTCTCTGCTCCTTTCGCTCTCCTCACTGTCCTACCTGCATCACATCTTTGATTATACTTTCCTGCTCTTAGGATCCCTCACTCTCACACAGAAACACACGTGTGAAAGTCAGGCTAGGATCTGCATATGGGAGAGAAGACGTGGCTTTGTCTTTCTGGGACTCACTTGAAATCACATTTCCCAGTTCCATTCATTGCCCTAAAATTGTCATAATTTTGTTTTTCTATATGGTGAGTAAAGGTCCGTTTGTGCACACACACCACATTTTCATTACCCCTTCATGTGCTGATGGCCGTCTAGACTGCTTCCCTCTCCACGCTGTTGTGAATAGGTCAGGAATAAACATGGACGTGTGAGTGTCTCTAGGATAGAACAGTCTCTTGTTTTCCTCAGTGTTCTTGAATGAATGTTTCAAATCACTGCACATCCCTTCCTCCCATGAATCCCTAGTGAAACTAACTGGTTTCTTCTCTGACTGGAAGGTAGAAGAGACATATATTACTCATCCAGAGGCTAAGGAGAATCGTGTGTGCCTCTTGTGGAGAAGTCTCCCCTGAGAGGGCTTCAGAACAGTGGTGGGCCGGTCTGTTTCTCCTGCCCTTTGTCATAAATCACACGCTGACACCCTAGTCAGTTGATCAACAACAGTGCGTTATTATTCAGCTCCCTCGGCTCTTCCTACTTAAGGACTTTTCACACTTGTGTGCTTGTGTCTCACCCTGAACCATGTGCTTCTTTATTTGCTTTCCTTTGCAAATAAAGCCCCGACAGCACAAACCTCAAAGCAAGGAAAGCAGCACAGAGGAAAGGAAACAGCTTGGAGCGGTCCAGGTGCAGAAGGCAGGAGCCAGCCCTACCTCATCCTATCTCACACGGCTGTCGTCCCCGGCCTTGAGAGTACATGACTCTGTTCCACTTATCTTTTCCAGGCCTCACGCTACCACTCAGGCTGGCCAGGCTGTGTACACCCAAGGCTGCTCCACCAGAGAGTGTACCAGTCCTGTTCAAGAGAGAGGTTGCAGGAGCCGTAACGTTCCATGTGCTGTATAAACACTCCGAAACCGCAAGATAAAAACAAAAACGCAAAATGAGAAGACGTCGAGGCTGGAAGTCTGGCTCAGTGTTTTAGGGCCTCGCTGCTCTCGCAGAGAATGGGATTTTGGTTCCGAGAATCCACACAATGGTTTCCAGGAGATGAGCTCCCGTCTCCTCACCTCTTCTGGCTCCTGCACATGCGTGATGTACATATATTCACCTGGGGTTCACACACACGCACTTAAATTTTAAAAAATAATAATTCTTTTAAAGACGAAAAGAGGTAAAACTCAGCTTGAGGAGACTTTCTTTGAACCCTATGAATCCAGATAGTATCATTTCAACACAGTCAATAACTGAGCTAGCTTAATCTTTTCTTCTGCTGACTCAGTCTTTGATAGTGAGGGGATACACGGCACTCAGGCCACACCTTAACTGTGTCTGCTCACATCATGTCTGGTGACAGCACATGAGCAGTCAGTGTGGTTTTAGCTTCGGGCTGTGCCACAGATATTCCAGATAATTAGATCTCTAGAGTCAGGGGGACGTGGGGAGGTGTTTTGTGCTCTAATTTGTGTAGAGAAGCCGTCTAGACCAGTGGAGGCCTCGCTCCCACTGAGTTTTTACACACACTGCTCCTCTACTTCCAGGTCCATTTCTGTCCCACCTGCTTTGACCGTTCATCATTCACTCGTGTTTCTATAGCGGTATCACTTCTTCTGGGAGGCTGACCTCCATCCTCTCTGAATCCCGTTTCTTTGCTTCCTATAACTTATTTGGATTTTTTTTAATGATACAGTTACTTGTGAGAGGACATCATTAAATGTTACTCTGACATAGAACAGACAGGTCGTACAGGACAAGTTCACATAATGGTTGTGCTCAGCCTGAATCCCAGTTGGAAGCAGAACCCTTTGTACATAAAAGGGGCTCGGCTGTGATGCTCTGAGTCATCACCAAGGCCGACCTCATGGATGTATGTCGGCCTGTTCCGGAAGTACGTGACGCTGTTGTTCTTACAGCCCTGCATATAAACGCTTCATGCACCGAACAGAAACCGGAGTGTTGTCAAGGTCTCTGGGGGGAAGAAAGCCCTCTGTTTAATACCGTTCCTGGTCAAAGGGTGTGGGTACCTCTGGCAAGCACCCCTCTATTCAAGCACCGCCTTCATCTGTTCCCTGGTGCAGCTGCCCTGTTTTCTCACAGAGGTCAGTGAGCCCAAGTTTTATCTTTGACACATTCGAGGCACTTCATCTTTAACAACCACTTTAAAACAAATGCGTTTGAAAAGTGGGTCAGTTGGTGGTGTGAAAGGCTGACAGCCCAGGTAACAACACATGCAGCGTTTTGAAAGAGAGGGTTGTGCAAGTTCTGATCAGAATCTTGGGTGCTGGGAATCTGGGGGAATAGGCACCATTGCTCCATGCCCTGTGTTTCCTCTCCCCATCCTTCTACTATTCCTGCCAGCAAACAAAATCCACATGCAGGAGAGCTGTAAGTAACGACTGTGAGATGCGTTGTGGGCACAAGGTAAAATTGTTGCAGATCATTGTGCGTTAATGATAAGCATATCATGTTCACGGTGGTGGCTAAGACTTGGTTCTCTAATGCTATTGGACTAATGATGCTATTAGATTCAATTCCTGGCCCTGGGTGAGCATTCAGGAACTCTCTCTCCTTTGTTCTGTCTTGTTCATTCTCTGCCTGTTTGACTCCATCTCTCCCTCCCACCCAATAAGCCTTTTACACGAGATCTGTTGTGGCACACCTGTGCAGGGCTGCCTAAAGGTTCCCCCAACCCTCGCTGCTTTGTCTTATCAATATCTACTTTTATATCTCAGTGTAACTATAATTAACATGCGATTGCTTTGCTTATCTGTGGGTCCGGCTTGCACCAGATTTATTTAAAGTGGCCTCCTGGAAAGAAGTCTGCCTAGACATTTTGTGGGTGATGAGGCTTGCTATCTGTGGTGGTTTGAATGAGAAATTCCCCCCATAGGCTCAGGCATTTGACCATTTGGTCCCCGGTTGGTGGCACTGTTTGGGGGAGGCTTAGGGGTTGTGGCCTCCTGGAAAACTACATCACTGGGAAAAGGCTTTGAGAGATTCCAGGCTTAAGATGCTTCCTCCTCTTTTTCTCAGCTTCATGCTTGTGGCTAAGGATATGAGTGCTCAGCTTCCTGTTCCTACTACCATCATGAACTCATCCCTCTGGAACCATACACCAAAATAAACTTGCTTTTGTAAGCTGCTTTTGGCTGTAGTGTTTTACCACAGCAACAAAAAGATAACTAATACTCCATCCAAGACATTACTTTTATTCACATCTAGTTGGTTCCATGTCCCTTTGCTAATGGTTTCCTCCCTTCTGTCACCACAGCCAGAGCTTCAAATAATGGGGTCAAATCTTTCTACCATAAGTGGCCCTTGTTCTACGGTTCTACTTCTCTAACTATGCAGGGACATCTTGGAAACCTGATCCCCACTCTGCCCTGTTTGCTTCAGTGGCCATCTTGTGCTAGTTTGAAGTGTAGTCTTCACACAGCTGACAGACATGTCTTACAATGTGGACCTTATTACCTGACACTCTTTTACCGAATACTCTTGTATAGTTTTATGTCTTGCAGGTTGGAACTCCTTAGCCTGCTATAAGCCCTCGTGCTGGGCCAGAAAAGCCTAAGTGGATTCATCTTGCACTGTCCTCCATGTGATAGTCCCAGCCACATTTTCATCAACATTAGGTTCCCACAAAAGGAGCTGAGAGCCTTTCATTTTGTGTCTTTTTTTTTTTTTAGTATGATTTTCACAGCACTCCAATTAGGTGGAGACTGTCACCAGCTCCTTTTCACGGCTGTGGAAATGTTTCTAAGTTGTATGGGTAGAGAACTGAGATTTTATGTGGGCTTTTTTCTAGGGCTTGGGTTTGTGACAATTTCCATTTTCATCATGCTCCGTGTACCTAATTGTGGCACATGTGGTTGGTCACCAAGCATTTGCAAACAAAACAAAACAAAAAACAAA